AAGTCCTCCTCTTCAGCAGTTGAGGCTGTCATACCTCCTCCACCATCTTACTCTGATGATTTCAAGATCTTTCAAAACCTGATGAAACACGTAGTGGACAATACAACTTCCATTGGAGGGGACACAGGAACTCCAGCATTCCTTGTTGAACATCCATCATACATCCAAGGCGAGCTCTCCCCAAGACTGTGCCCATTAACAACGCTCTCTTGGCCCCAGCAAGCATAGTGTGGCAAAATCCAGCTCCCATCCCACCTATGTTGACCACAAGTGGGCACTGAATGACGAGGTATTCTGAGAGAGATGTCTTATGTGGGGTCATCCACAGATAGGTCTCTTTGTAACTCTATCCAGTGCAAAGGGCAGATGATTCTGCCTGAGGGGAAGGCATGGCTGCAACTTGATGGGAGATGCCCCAGTCATTCCCTTAGCCTCACATACTGCTTTTCACTTACCCTCCACCTCCCTTTCTGATCAAGGTCCTGAACAAATTGAAACAAGAAAAATTATTATCCATCTTCATAGCACCATCTTGGCCAAGACCTGTGGTTCCCAGAGCTGATCTACCTGTCCTTGCAACCACCTCTGTCTTCTCCTGACGGTGAATCTCCTGACCTAGAAGTCAGGATCCATTGCTCAACCAAATTTTTTGACACCTCACCTCATTGAGTCCTCCTGGGAGCCAATACAGAGGACTTTAACATGGGAGTCAGGTTATATATGCATCTAGACTAACCCAATACTGAGGTTTGCTGCTGAATTCCAAATGTGTTGGTGTCTGGTACCCCACTTGCTAGACCAGCATACAAAATTAGTCATCTGGCTCCTCCATGTTCTAAAGATGGAATTACAATTTTCACATTATTTTAACCTAACACCACCCAGTGAATGGGTTGGACTGAAAGGTTTACGAGGGAATAAATGATTGTTTCTGATGATATATCTTACTGTGGGACAATGGGTATTGCAGAACCACTGCCAAGAGAATGCCCCTGTTCACCTTAAGTCTTCAACTAAAACAATTATTGAAGCTTTTGGAATGAAGTACTTAGAGACTGTCAAAATACACTGTACTTAAAATGTCCCTTACTCCCGTTCCGGAAACTGACAGTGAGCTGACTTCAGATCTGGCCTAATGGGCTACAGCTCCCTCTTCAGTGGGTGTTTTACACCAGACATTGATCCTTTAAACAGTTGTCCAACATCTGATAAAGCAATAATACTTTTCAGCTGTAGATCTCAAAGTGCTTTACTATGGCGGAGGAGGGGAGAAGGAGGAGATCTGGCCCTATAATTGTAGGGCACCTTAAATGCCTCTTTACTCATACATTTGCAAGGTTGGGCCTTATACTGTGGTATGTAACTCACAACAGTAAAGGAGATTATATAGGGCTAGTAGGTGGGGTCAGTGGTGAGCTGGAGCTGGTTCACACGAACCAGTTGTTAAATTTTGAAGCCGGTTTAGAACTGGTTGTTAAAGGGGTGGGCAAACTCCGGCCCGCAGGCCACATCCTCACCACGGGACCGTCCTGTCCGGCCCGCCTGAGAATCCCTTTTTAATTTTTACTCACCCGGCGGCACTCTGGATCTTTGGCGGCAGGGTCCTTCAGTTGCTCCTGGCCTTCGGCAGCGGATCCTTCAGTGCCGCCAAAGACCTGGAGCAACTGAAGGAACCGGTTCTTCAGCTTTTGGCAGCTCATCACTGGGTGGGGTCATGCGTTTGGGAATCTTTCACTGCAAACACTTTGGAGTATCTACTAAATAGGATAGGTGAACTGCCGAAGAACATACTGTAGACCTTTCAAAAGAGTAACTGAATAACTTTCTTTTATAGAGTTTCTGTTGAATTGGGCTCTTATTCGTCATGCTTTATTGTGTCCTTGCAATTTAGATTTCCAAGTTGTAATACTGCTATAAATTGTCTCACCAATGATAAAAGCAACCTGAACCTAGTGTGACGTCCAGGGGATGGAATTGTGTTGTTGAAGGTCCGGACTGCTCAGTGAATTTGTGGCCCACCAAACATGGGTTTTCCAGAATCTAAACATTCTTTTCAAAAAGGAAAGTTCCTACTTCTCCTGGATGCAGAGATAATCTTTCAAATGTGAACTAAATATAAACCACTACAGCGTTTTCATATCAGTAAACAGACAACATGGCTCACAGATTAACTACGCTCTCATTCAACTTGATAGAATATTAATTTCAGAGCATTTTGTTACTTCACATCACCTATAATTATTTAATGGCTGGTCATTTTAGCAACTGTGATGGAGTTGAGAGCAAAGCCCACATAAAAGGGAGTTGAAAATGGGAGAGACCAAACCAAGGGCAGAAACAGCAGTGCTTGTAAAGATGAGTAGTTGCCCAGTGAGAGAGAATGAATGCAGCTAGAAGGGACTGAATAGAGTTTAGTGATGACATAATGGCAATATTCTATCCTTGATCTTGGTGTAAACCACCTATTGATATCAGTAGGAGGCCCATTGTGGACTGAGGGAATATGGAGTTCTAACTTTATACCCCAGTCTGTGGACATAAGTAAACATTTAAGTTGGTCCTCTCTGCAGCATGAGCTTGCCACTTCATTGCAGGTCACAGGTAGTGCTGGTAGCACTAGCTGTCACATAACTAATATCACACTGTATGGTAAGTATACACATTGCCCTCCATGTAGGGTGACCCTACGTCCCGTTTTGGCCAGGACAGTCCCTATTTTAAGCCCTGTCCTGGCCATCCTGACTTTTTTGGCAAAATTGGGTATTTATCTAAAAAACAGGGTGCAGTGTGGAGGAACATGCAGAGGGGCAAGTGGTAACCCCAGCCCTGCGTGGGGTGGGAGGGCTCGGGCGAGCAGTGACCCCAGTCCCATGAGGGGTGAGGGCTTCGGCCAGTCCGCTGCAGGGTCTGGTTTTCCCTTTGGGAAATATGGTCATCCTACCTCTATAGCTCACCTTTAAAAGAATATTAAATATTACAAAGGCACAAAGCTGTTCAGTTCAATTTTTTGCACATTTATTATGACCTTAAATTTTTACTTTTTTTTTTAAATTAAGATTATAAATTAATCTTCCTCCTTTCCCTCTTCTCCCCTCCCTGTTGTTCCTGGAATACTATGTGTGTGAATGGTGGACTGGTCCATCTGACCTCCTAAATGTTAAGGAAATGACACCTGATTAAGAGGGGAAGGGTTTTTTTGCAGATTGTTTAAAATTCATTGTCTTCTGTTTTGTTTTTATTTAACTCAAAAGTCTGACAAACAGCTGAAAGAAAAGTTTGTCAGTTTTAGCAAAATACGTGCTGAGAGCACAAATCCACATCTGAGTCCTTTCACAGACCTCCAGCAAAAGCAAGGTAGACAACACTTGATATGCCCAGTAAGTCTGATGTTTGGGGAAAAATTTTTTTTTAAAGATGCGTGTTGGGTCTTTATACAGCATAAAAAAAGCAATTGTACAAGATCAACTTCTATGCATCCCTTTAATGTTAGCATTGAAGGATCCTTTTAGGTTGTCCAGGTACCAGTAGCTGGGTTGTCACAGCAGAACAGTGTATGTAAATTAGAATTAGCCCTAACTCAAGATTCTTGGAATCATACACTTTAGTGAGAATTTCTCTTCTTTTAATTTTAATCTACTTATGTATGACCCAATGTGACTCAGTAAAGGGAACTAAAGACAACTTTTGTAAAGGAGAAAAAGTGTTTGAATCCCGAATAATAAACAGAAGGAAACTTAAACGTCCAGCTGCTAAGTGTACTTAAGAGTAGCTGGACTGAACTGGCCAGCTGCAGGTGCAAACGACGTTATGTACAACTTTTAAAAGCCTGGCTCTACCAGCTGTGCTCTCACTCACTGCTCCAGAATGCCTCTTATCCCAAAAGACCCTGAGGATAATTACAAAAGTTGTGTTACTTTTTGCCACCCTGGCAGATATAAAAGAAAGTTTCTGAAAAGTCGCTTCTGTGGCTGAAGTTGTGACAGAGGAACCTAAAACCCAGAAATCAAATGTGTAGCATGTCAGGCACTGTAAACAAGGCCTGTACCCTCCTTGGAAATGGGCAGGGGCTGAGGGAGTCGATTTCCCCCCCGCAGTGCCCACTAGTTGCCAGAGGGCATTCAGGGGCCAGTTTTGACCAAGTCTCCCCATTTGCTCCATGAGGAAGCCTGTGGGTAAGCTCAGACTATAGGGCTCTCTTCCCTTTCTCCCTACTAGCCCCAGGGGAGCCTGGTGGGCCTCCCTGCCTCAGCCCGCGAGCCACTCGGTGGAGCTTTAGGAGCCACCCTGGCTCAGCCCCCTCCCCACTCGCCCCTGGGGGAGCTTTAGGGGCCACCCTGGCTGAGCCCCCTCCCCACTCGCCCCTGGGGGAGCTTTAGGGGCCACCCTGGCTCAGCCCCCTCCCCGCTCGCCCCTGGGGGAGCTTTAGGGGCCACCCTGGCTCAGCCCCCTCCCCGCTCGCCCCTGGGGGAGCTTTAGGGGCCACCCTGGCTGAGCCCATCTCGGGAGCTTTGGGGGCCCCCTGGCTGAGCCCCCTCCCCGCTCGCCCCTGGGGGAGCTTTAGGGGCCACCCTGGCTGAGCCCATCTCGGGAGCTTTAGGGGCCACCCTGGCTCAGCCCCCTCCCCGCTCGCCCCTGGGGGAGCTTTAGGGGCCACCCTGGCTCAGCCCCCTCCCCGCTCGCCCCTGGGGGAGCTTTGGGGGCCCCCCTGGCTGAGCCCCCTCCCCACTCGCCCCTGGGGGAGCTTTGGGGGCCCCCCTGGCGGAGCCCCCTCCCCACTCGCCCCTGGGGGAGCTTTAGGGGCCACCCTGGCTGAGCCCATCTCCGGTAGCCACTGGGGGAGCTTTGGGGGCCCCCCTGGCTGAGTCCCCTCCCCCCAGCTACTGGGGGAGCCCCTCCCGCTGCCTCTCCACTCCCGCTACCGGGGCTGCCCTAGCTCTCAAAGCCCCGCCCCTTCCAGCGAGGGGGAAGGAGGCCGGCGGGGCTGGGCTGGGCTCGGCGTTCCTGTTGGCCGTCAGGGAATCTTGTCCCCCCTGAGCCGCCGTCCGCGGCTGGCTGGGGGTGAGAGGTGACGTGACGGCTGCGTCCCCGGAAGCCGCGGGACGGGAGGGAGGGAGGCCGGCGGAGCAGGGCGTCGGAGCAGCCGCCTGGCCACAGCCTCCCGCAGGGCCGGAGAATGGTGCAGGGCCAGCCGCCCCGCCGCCTGTGAGCCCGGCCGCCGCCTCCGGGCCCCGCCCTGCTCCGCCCCGCCCGGGGGCTTCTTCGCCCTGCGCCGCCGGTAAGAGACGCCGAGGCGGGCGCGGGCCTTGGCGGTGAGCTGCGCCCTGGGGCGGGGGCCGGGAGCCGGGCGGGGCGGGGCAGGCGAGGCGAGGCGGGGCCGCCCCCACGTGCCGCCCGCCCCGCCGCTGAGAGCCGGGCGGGCCGCTGGCATGGGAGGGGAGCCGCCTGGTCCCAACGCTTCCTGTGAATTGTCCCCCCCCGCCCCCCCGAGAGAGGCGGCGGCGAGAGAAAAGCGGGTGGGGCGTTTGGGGGTTTCGCAGCTCGGGGGCCTCGATTTTACAGTCGCTTCGTTTGTGGCTAGATTCGAGCCGGCAGCTGCCCACCGAGGGGGGCGGCCGTTTATTCTCAGCCCGGTCGGGGCAGGGGGCCGTAGCTCTTCATCCCCTGCGCAGCTCCGCGGGGGCAGAGCTTGGCCCCGTGTCAAACGGGGGCCCCCCGGTGTCCGCCTGAGCGCTGCGGCTTGTTGTGTAACGGCCGCCTTCCGCTGGCCCGGTGCAGCCCTGGAGCAGGAGTCGCCGCTGCAAAATATTTGGTAACGAGGATCCTCCGCCGATCCCCGAGCACGGGCCGAATGAGCTGACTAGGTCTCCTCTGCCTCTGGCTTCAGGCCTGTTAATCTCCATGTCCATGTATTTGCGCTGCATAATTTACAGAAATGGGATTAATGATCAGGACTTGATTTACCTGGTATTTTGAGGTCGCCCTTAAATCACGAAAATAAAGGTTAGGTTGATCTTAGCTTGATTTCCATATTTTAGGCTTGAACTACTTCTGCGGATTCGTGATCGATTAGTAAAAAGAATAACTTGAATGGCCACAAAAGCTGGTTGAGATTCTGAGTGATTTTGTCATTAGTTTACTTTGTTTACTACACATATGCTATTTATACTGTTTTGCTGTTAATTCATTCAAATGAAGATGTTGCTGTATGCCAGAATTTTCTTACAAAAGATAATGTATCTGAAACAAGGCTGCTAGATACATAGATTTGAATTTGAGCCACGTCTCATAATCATAGTTATGGATACCCTGGGAAACATTCCTGAATGTAGAGGGAAGGACTAAATTACAAAACAACTTTCTCCACTCCTCCCCTCTTTTAATTTGTTTCTAAAGGCTTGCCTACCTAAGGAAATTTTACTAGTATAATTATAACCCTGGAATTATACGGGTATCACTGAAGCTGTATAATTGTGCCTATAAATTTCCCTGTGTAAATAAGTCCTAAGTCCAGATATGAATCTAAGTAGGGTTGCTTTTCAGGTCGTTGTCAAACTTTTGAAAAGTTAGGTGGCTTAAAGTTCAGAATTGGATGTGTACAATTTAGGGCTGCCTTTCATAATAAAACCTAAATGCATTTAAAAAAAAAAAACCCCACAGGTTAAATTCTGGGGATTGTGAAATGGATACTAAGCCTTTTATTGCTAGGTTGCTATAGTAAGTAAATATCATCACCATCTCACCGCTTTTCACTGGCCTATGTGAAATGACCAAATGGTTTCAGTCCAGTTTCTAGTGGGCATGTGTCCACATATCAATTGGCACCTTCTGTTGGCAGACAGGGTATACAGACTGAGGATTGAATTGGCCTTGGAGACCATCTCTGATTCTAGATATGGTCTCTTGAGGCACATTCTGAGAGGGTGGCACTGGTCAGTTCCGATGAAGTGAGCTGTAGCTCACGAAAGCTCATGCTCAAATAAATTGGTTAGTCTCTAAGGTGCCACAAGTACTCCTTTTCTTTTTGCGAATACAGACTAACACGGCTGTTCCTCTGAAACCGTTCTTTACAGGCTTTCAGTAAGACTTGGAGGATTGGTATCGTTGCTGGGGAAATGTGATTCTCATTTTCCATTTTAAATTCTTTTTTTAATCAACTATGTAAAATGGAAACTGTTTCTGCAGTTTAAAAAAAAAAATCAGAGATGTACATGCATCTGAAGACAATAACAACCAGACGTCTGTGTTATCTGGCTAAGCCAGATGCATCCAGCAACAGACAGGATCTGAAAAATACCCCTGCCACTGAACGATTATTGTACTTTGATAGTGCGGCTCTATTTTTAGTGATTCACTGAGTGTTCTGGCAGTTTTGGACCCCTTTTCAATATGAGCAGCTTACAATTTTTTTGTTTTGTTAAAAGGAGTTGAGACTTTTTTTAATTAAACATTTACATGTCTGGGCAAATAAAACAGAATTTTAGGGGTCTGTTGGGTAAACTACCACTTAATAGGATTTCTTGATGGCACAGTTCTGCTGCTCCCCACCCTAGCTCTCCTTGCAAAACAATTGTGTACTGCAGGTTCTGTTTAGGGGACCAGCCAGACTAGTGCATTAAATGGGACTGAGAGTCACAATTCCTGGGTTTGGTTCCTCATACTAACCTTTTTTGTAGCCTTCAGTACATTATTCTTTGCCACAGATTACCCATCTGTAAAATGGAGACAGTATTTGCCTGCTTAATTTAGGAGTTGAGGTTTAACAAAGTTAAGTTGTAGTTTGTTTTGAGACCTTTGCGTGAAACAGGATATAGACATGAAAGGTACTCTTTCTTTGACTCTTTTTTTTTCTCCAAGTTTTTCACCTTAGTTATTTTTTTTTTGTTCTTTTGCTGCACCGTGTCCTCCGTTTCCTTCACAACTGTCCACTGGTTGTTTTTTTTTTGATGTTTGATGTTTTAAACAAACACTTTATGTGGTTATATGCTGAATGCCTAAATATAGCAGAGATAAGAGGGGCAGGTAAGTGATCATAAACCCACCTCCTTGTTTCTTTGCAAGTTTGAAGTTTCTTTAAGTTTTGTTTTTGCTTTCCCTAAATACCCTATGGCAAACCTGCTTTTTGTTGCACTCTGCAAATATAGGTTCAGTTTCTGCAGTTGGATCTACTTGCGTGGACACCCTCCCCCCACTTCCACATAGACATCCATTGAAATCTGCATTGGTGGGTCTGATACTATAATTGGACCCATAGTAATTTTTAACAAAAATGTGCAGATCAGCTAGCAAATGTAACTTGACATGGGCCAGTGTGAAATCTAGCCATAAATTACTAACGGGGGTGTGTGTGTGTGTGTGTCACATTTTGGAAATGCATGTTTTGCAGAAGTACTACTAGTTTCCATTAATATCGTAAAGACACTCAGTGATTCATGAAAATAAGGAAACATGGGAAGAGCCTAGAAAGGGCTGAGATTAACTGTGCAACTGGAGATATGGAAACATCTCTTCTGAATGCTGAGCTGCACTTTAAGCTGCTAATAAAACAAAATGTCTGTTTATATTTGGCTGTTGTGATGTAAAGATCTTAGCTGGTGGTGTAATTAGGTTTTTAAATCCATAGGTCTTACTCAACAAGTCTTGATTCCTGGTCTTGTTCTTTACTTTGTGAAAAAGATGGATGTAATTTAGTGTTTTTCTTTGTTTCCTTTTGTATTATTCTTTTTTTAAATCCAGGACACAGAAGAGTGGGAGGGTAACTTGAAGGTCAGAAAGGGCTGGGCACTGGAAAATTTACAGTCAATGTCAGAGCCTTGAAGTAAGGCTCTTGGGACACCTCTGCCAGGCAGCTTGCTGTCTGTTACTGGGACAAGTTTTGAAGCCATTCAGCTGGGAGCTGATCTGATTCCAACAGGATGAATAAAAACATCTGTGAACTCTTAAATTCTTAGTTTTCTCCCATTAAAATCAGTGGTGAAAGAGAAAATAAGAAAACTACACAAATTAATAGGTAAAAACTTTTTTCTCTCAATTTCATATTTTCTTAGTGTAGCAAGAAGTAGTTCTGAAATTCCCATAGGAAGAGGGAATGTTGATAATTTATAACCTGCTTTCATTGCTGCAGTAAATCAATTTGTATGTCAGTTTGGAGACTTACCTTACTTATTGGTGGTTTTTTGTTCAGCATTCCAGTGCCTTTAGGTTCAGAATTATTAAAATGAATGATTGTCTTGAAATTAATCAGTCTCCAGAGTAGCACTGTAGAAGCCACTAGTATACGTAGCAATTGCAACAGGCAGTGTATGTTGCTGATCCTTTGGGATTTTATCTTTATAATGCCTGCCTGGCTTTGGGTTAACTACAACATCCCTGTAACTTTTGTGTGTGTCCTTAAGGTGGAGAGTGCATATTAGTAACTTAACTCAATTTTAATACAGTTTTTTGTCTAGAGTGTATGTAGGTATTGACAAAAGCCAAGTGATTTGGATCCAAGGCAGAAGTTCTGGACTGAAAATTTTTACTTATCCGGTTGTACTTGAGATAGTATGTAGATTGCAGAATAGTATGCGTATCCTTAATCCTGCAAGGTTTAGGCATAGTGGAGAGAAGTCAAGGACTGTGCATTCACCTGCCATTGGAGCCTCTCTTTAAACTTTATTAGCTTAAAAAAAAGAAACCTGATGCTGTCACTTTGCACATTTCTAGCACAGTTCCTGTGAGGCTCTGTGTTTTGAATTAAGCCTCATCAATGCCTTGAGGTAGTTCCGTTCCTCAGATTAATCATTTGTAAAATTCATGTAATGAAGTTAGGGACTTTCTCCCAAGGTCACACAGCAAGCCAGTGACAGATGCAGAACAGAACTAGAATTGGTAGCAAAACAGAGGTTCTGATAGGTTTCAGAGTAGCAGCCGTGTTAGTCTGTATCCACAAAAAGAAAAGGAGGACTTGTGGCACCTTAGAGACTAACACATTTATTTGAGCATAAGCTTTCGTGCATCCGATGAAGTGAGCTGTAGCTTACGAAAACTTATGCTCAAAGAAATTTGTTAGTTTCGGAGGTGCCACAAGTCCTCCTTTTTTTAGAGGTTCTGATGCCCTTTTTCTAAAGAGATGTAAATATGACTCAGGAGTTCTGATGCCCAGTCCCTGCCTGAACCAGTAGGTTACACCCACTCATAAAAAGTCTCATAGCGATGGAAATGCATATAAATATATTGGTCTGTGGCAGAAATATTTGGACACTGAAAATTTACAGGTTTCAGAGCGGTAGCCATGTTAGTCTGACTCCAGCGAGAAACTGCAGAATTGGAATTAATTTGCAAACTGGACACCATCAAATTAAGCCTGAATAAAGACTGGGAATGGATGGGTCAGTGCAAAAACTAATTTTCCCCTGCTGATACATACCTTCTTGTTAACTGTTTGAAATGGAAAGGAGTACTTGTGGCACCTTAGAGTCTCTAAGGTGCCACAAGTCCTCCTTTTCTTTTTATGGATACAGACTAACACGGCTGCTACTCTGAAACCTGTTTGAAATGGGCCACCTTGATTACATTGGCCTCATTAGTACTACAAAAGTCCTTAATTGAATTGGCTCATTAGCACTGACCTTCCCTCCCCCCCCCCCCCCCCCCCACCCACACACACACACACACACTTGGTAAGGCAACTCCCATCTTTTCGTATGCTGTGTATTTATACCTCTCTACTGTATTTTCCACTCCAGGCATTCGATGAAGTGGGTTCTAGCCCACAAAAGCTTATGCCCAAATACATTTGTTAGTCTCCAAGATGCCACAAGGACTCCTCACTGAAAAAATTAGTTGTGCTTAGGTGCTGTGCTCCATAGTTTCAATCAGGAGTGTGGAATCATTCCTAAGTTACTACGGATTTGTATATGAAGGAGTCTTGATACACTGAGCACGTGCAATTGCTGGTTTTCTCCTCACCTCTGATATTAACCACCCACATGTTTTGTTGTAAATACTCAAAGGGCCTGTTATCCTTTGGAAATAGCATCCTGTAACACTTCCTGACTGTTTTCAAAGTTCTAGGACAGTTTGGTTTCCAAACTTTAACAACCTGTGAACCCATTTCAAGTCTTGTGAACCTGCTCTTAAAAATGAATATTTCCAGGGATTTTCTCCTTTACCTGAGTATAAATTATAAAAGCATTGATCTTGGACATATAAAATTTGTTTTTATGATATGCTTTTTACACACTATTTATTATTATTATTATTTATCATTACATTATTTTTATTACATTATGAAAATGGCAACACTCTTTCAAGATCTCACTTTCATAGCTTGTATCACTTTGAATAAGTCTGTTATAGGACAAGGCTCCTAGGTTTCATCAAGGAGTATCAGATGTGAAACAGCATGAAGGTATTTAAGAAGCCAACTTAAATCGTTCCTCCTACACAAGCATTCAGGTCTTCAGCAGTCCAGGCAAACAACGCATGTTACAACAAAGCTTAAACTTGTTCTTCATAATAATTTAAAAAACAGCACTAGCTGCCTATTTAATTTTTAAAACGGCAAAAAATATCCACCTCCCTTTCCATTTCTTATAAGGAGTCTGAAGTTTAAATCTCCTCAGTGTGATAGATATCCTTGCTTTGATCCGCTTAGCACTTGGAATTCCAGGGGCTGTGGGCTGCTGTCCCCGTGCTGCCCGGTGTTCCTAGGGGCAGCTCTGTCTGCCACTAGGGAACTTTTTCGTGAGAACCCCCTGTAACATTTCGCGAACCCCCAGGGGTTCACAAACCCCAGTTTGGGAACTACTGTTCTAGGAGGATGTTTGGCAACAAGTCCTCAGAAAAGCTGGTGCTCTTTTAGCAACAAAAAATATTTGGGCAGATTTTGTTTTAATGAGTTTTAGCACATCCATTTTGGTGGCTGACTGAAAAGAAACCCCTGGGGAAACCAGAATTCTAATGAAATTGCTGACGGTCCCTTAAATTTACAGTAAGCTGCAATACTGTATTTGCTCCTGGGTAACATTCAGCTTTGATTAAATGCTGTAATAAACCTTGCCTCTTGCTGGGTGGGTTTTTTTAATAAGAAAATTTGGAAGGAAACGTTGAATACAACTCTGCTCTTGGTTTTTGTTTTGCTCTGTTTCCATCTCAACATGTCTCCAGTGTTTCTAGACTGACATTTGTGATGAACCCTAGTTTAAAAAAAATTTCAGAAATTTGCTGAAATGGAATCCTGTCCTGCCAGTGACAAGATAGGAGACAGAACTTTAGAATTGGGTCATACCCAATTAATTTTCTTATCTGAGGCAATTCAGCCCTCCCCTATTGCACCTGCCTTTTCTTGACACCTTAATTAGCTTTTCTAGCAGTAGCGCTGTGTGTCTTTGAGAAGTGTGGGCTCTGGTAGGATACGCTTTCTCTTCTTTCTACCTCTTCTTTCCTTTTTTCTCCCACTTCCTTCTCTCTAGCTCTTTCCTATATCCCTCTCCCCCCGCCCACCCACACACAGGATTTTTACCATTAGATGCTTGTAGTGCTGCTACTGATCATTGTTGGCACAATGGTGCTGGTTACCTTAGTCTTTGGGGAGTGGATAGAAATCAGTTAGTGGACCAAGATTGTGCACCCAGGATACGATCCTGCACTCTGAAATGAACCCTGTTTTAAAAAGTTGTACCAAGGAAAAGAGAGAGAGAGATTGTATGTTAAAGTCTGCCATGTTTGGAGGAATGCAATAATCTCCTCACTGAACTTTTCTGTCTCCATTGGAGCAAAGTGATTTTTTCTTCTTAGAAGAAACTGATGACGAAAAGTGTAGGCCAGTAAAATATTAGGAATACTGATGTGAAAAGCTGCAGTTATTGTATGGATCATACGTACCGTGTGCTTCTAACAAGAGAGCACAAGGCACACAAACTTGCAGGGAGCAGAATCCCTGACTTAATGAAAATTCCCAAGAGATGGATCTTGTTTTAGTCCTGGATTGCTGAGTCATAACCATTAAAGTGCTATGCTCTTGAGATGCTTGGTTTGCATCTTTCAATTGCTCAAAATTCGGATGGGCAGCACAGGTTTCTAGACAAAAGTCCTTTCCTTTCCTTCTGTGTACTCTAAGGATTAAGATATTTTAGCATGACTACAGGTAAAGCAAATGAAGGAAACAGGATTGCTTGTGGTGTTCTCTGCTTGCGCAGTTTCTGAAGTAGAGCCTCAGAGCTGCACTTTAATACTTGACTGCATTGTTTTCTTTTTGGGTGGGGGTGAGTAATTCCAATAGACCTTAATCCCCTTCACTTGCATAATGGAAAGACAGGAAAACTCAAAAGAAATGGAGAATCAATAGGATTAAATGGAAAGTCTGCTTCAACTCAGTAGACCAAGGGTAGTCAATAGGCAGATCACGGCCATGGGCCAAACCCGGACTGCTATACGCTTTTGAACAAACCCTGAAATCTTTTTATTTACGTATTATTGTTATCTTCTCTGGAGTCTGGACCTTGACTAAGAAATTTGGATCTTGACAAAAATTGACTACCCCTGCAGTAGACTTAGGTCTGTAGAGTAGACCTGGCCTATCTCAGTGTAACTACATTGCAGAGGTGTCTGGAAAATCCACCCTCCTGGGTGATGTTGTTATACCTACCTAAACCCCCCCGCCATGCAGACAGTGCTATGTCGACAGGAGACTTCTCCTGTCAGCATAGCTACTGCCTCTCAGGGAGGTGGATTGACTATGCTGATGGGAGAAGCTCTCCTGTCAGCGTAGGAGTGTCCTCACGTTCGTGCTACAGCAATGCAGCTGCATTGGTGCAATTGTACTGATGCAGCATTTTAAGTGTCACTCTGTGTGTTCACAGTCCTATCTGCTTAATTTACTGACTCAAGTAAGTTTGTACTTCTTTTCATGCTGGAGAACGAATGGAGAGATGAATCTTCTGGCTCACTCAGTAAATGGAGTTTCTGATAACAAGACTTTAGTTGACGTGTCAGCTGGAAGTGTTGCAGCCTGAGTCTCAGATCCCAGTTTGCACATCCGATGGTTAGAAAAAACATTGGTTTATTGATAAACTGATCAGATTTGGTCAAGATCCAAATGCATAACTTCATGAGGCTTTTCTCTAACCAGATCGCTTTTCAAAGTGGAACAGTACTTTGCAGCTACATTGAATAATTCTCACTTATAAAGTGCCATCATCTATTTCACACTTGGTACAGCTGGGTCTTAAAATGGCTTTTAAAGGCTTTTGTCTTAAGTTTGGAAGTATAATAACTTAACTGGAAATTTGCAGACCTTATCTGTGGGCTTCATTGAAACTACATTTCCATTATAATCTTATTAATTCAAATACTGTTCTTATGGAATCCAAATACAGCTGTGTATGCTATGCTGGGTGACTAGTCAAGGAAATAAAATAAAGAACTGTATGGACCACTGATTCTCATTGGCTGTCAGTAATAGGAAGCGTGTTTGATTCTGTTAAAAGCTATGGCATCTTTCTTTTAATTCCATTCTTTCTGGAAATTGTAGTGGTTGGGAGAACAAAATCTGGCACCTTTTGAGGAATTTTTTTAGATTTGTTTAATCCGCAACCACATTTTTCTGTTGATTGATTGACTTAAATTATCTCTTGGAAAAAATCATGTTCTTCCTATGTGTCACTCTGTTCTAATGCTCTCCATTTTCAGGTGGATCTAATCAGAATAATGTTCAACATAAACCCTTTGGAGAATCTGAAGGTTTACATCAGCAGTCGCCCTCCTCTTGTGGTCTTTATGATCAGTGTAAGCGCTATGGCAATAGCTTTTCTGACACTGGGTTATTTCTTTAAAATCAAGGAGATCAAGTCACCGGAAATGACAGAGGTATGGTATAATAAGATATGTACACTGACATCCTGCAGTAACACACTTCCTGGCTTTTGTGATGGGACATGCTTATTTAACAAAAAGAAAAGGAGGACTTGTGGCACCTTAGAGGCCAACCAATTTATTTGAGCATAAGCTTTCGTGAGCTTCAGCTCACGAAAGCTTATGCTCAAATAAATTGGTTGGCCTCTAAGGTGCCACAAGTCCTCCTTTTTCTTTTTGCGAATACAGACTAACACAGCTGCTACTCTGAAACCTATGCTTATTTAACAGTCATACATAACTTTCATTTTAACAGTTTGTATGTTTTCTCCTGTGCTAGTGCACAGGACCTGATTGTTTTCATTTGCATTACTGTATTTTAATCTCTAATCTAGAAGCAGTCATTTACCTTGCAAGGAATAATCTCGATACAATTAATTTGACGGGGGGGGGGGGGGAGGCGGAATTAATGCTCTCTCATTAGGAGAATGTGTTTGTAACACTCCCCCCTGCAACTGCTAACCTTTATTCTGTTCTAACAAATGGCTTGATTCATGGAACTTCTTCTGATCTTTGTTTTAAGTTACCTTGCAAAACTGTTCCATAGTTTGAGTGCATTTTGATAAGTATGTGAGCTAAACTTCATTGGGAGCTCTCTGTATGAGAGAGACCAGGGCTCCTCACTAAAACAAAGTTAATGTAAGTACACCAACGTTATTAATTTCATTTGTGGCTCTGAGGAGAGTATTATTCTACCATGCTCTTTATAGCTTTGAAAATGAGTAATTGATCAGTGGGGTGAAGTGGGAGTCAGAATTGGCATTTGATTTATAAAAACAAACAAACACAAGCATCAGATATTTCTCCTATTGAGAGTGTTGCCGCTTACTTCAATGGAGGGTAGGATTCAGATTGTCTTGGTGACATGGAATAATATAGATTTAAAACTAGATATTAAAAATCTGAACTGCTCTTTGAAGAAGTGACAGTACTGAATAATTTTGCTAATCTAATCTGTCATCTAATCTAGATTTTTGTCTCGCTTTTTAAAGGACTGGAATACTTTCCTCTTGAGGTTTAATGATTTGGACTTCTGTACATCAGAGAATGAAACCTTAAAACATCTCATCAATGATACCACAACTCCAGAAAGTACAGTGACTAGTGGACAAGCCAGATCTTCTACACAATCTCCACAGACTCTTGAGGACTCTGGTCCAGTAAACATCTCTGTGACAATCACTCTGACACTGGACCCACTCAAACCATTTGGCGGGTATTCCCGTAATGTCACACACCTAAGTTCCACAATTTTGGGGCATCAGATTGGACTCTCAGGTATGCAAAATTTGATTGTTCCAAGAGTGAATAATAATTACACTTCTAATATTACAAATATCTGAAGAAGGAATATAAAAATCTAGCTAGTCACTAAAGAAATGAATCATTGGCTTAGACATTATGTGCATTGCTAAAATTTTTGTCAGTACTTCACAATCATGAGCCTGTCTCTCTCCTTTTTGGCAAAGAGTAACTTTTCCCTGTATTTGGGGTAATAGAGAAGATGTATGTACAGTCAGATGTATACACACTACTTTGCAGTCTAAAAAAGATCCAGCAGCACAGTCACATTCGTTTGAAAGTATTTTCAAAACAAATTTCTGAACTGGAAAAGCTGCTTCTTGCTTATGCAGGGTACACTTGAGTGCTGCTGATCAGTCCGTCAGTTTTGGTGGTGGTGAATCCTTCTGCATCAATGATCCAGCTGTACGTTAACTGAAAACCTCTTGTTGATTTAAAATCTAAAATACAAACTCGTTCAGGATAAAGCTGCTGAAAAGAAGGAACGATCGTAAAACTTTCCAGTGATGCTAAGATGATGAAAGAATCCTAACCTATTCTGTTGGCTTGCCTGGCCAGACAGACAAGTCAGTGGGTTGTGGAGACTTTGTAAAGTGGTTTACAGGAACTGTTCAGAGTTGAAGTTCAGCATGTTTAATTTTACAGTGGTGCTATAACATCAGGGTGGCTTGCACCTGAAATATCCTATAGCAAACACATGCCACAACTGAAAATCTCTCTTGCTTACAGCAACTTTCTCTACTCTTTCCTGAACGATATTGTGTAACTTCTGTTGATCAAACCACCTGGTTTTAATCTGCATATCAAATCTGGTTTATCCCTGGGGACCTACAGTTTTATTCTTTGGAGAACCCAGCGGTTTAATCTTATCTCTTATAGTTTTATCTATTGATGAGGTTGTGCATATTAAGGCGCTTTTCAGCAGTTATATCTGCATGGATTTCTCTATAGTAAAAATTAAACTGCAGAAAAAGCAGATGATGAACTAAGGTTTTAGGAGGGGAAGGGCTAAAATTCTAAGATGTAATTACTGATAAAATTGTTGCAGACAGTGGCCGGATTATGCACAATTATAGAGAGGTTTTCTAAATTCAAAAGCTTGTAAAGGCCCAATGGTCATGGGACCAGGTCCAAAACTGTCATCAGTGCTAATAAATGGGTGGTTTGGGGCAGGAGGGGAAATAGGAGTCTGTAATTTTCCAGATATTTCTTTGCTTCCCGCAATGATGGCCACAAAGCTGTGTGTCCACAAAAATACAAACGACCACACGCCTTTTCCTAGTACTTGTTGCTGTTACTGCTCTCATCATACCAACAATTTCTTTCTTTCTAAAAGGCAGAGAATCTCACGAGGAGATAAATATTACGTTCACCCTGCCTGCTGCTTGGAATTCAGATGACTGTGTTCTCCATGGTCACTGTGAGCAGGTGGTATTTACAACCTGTATGACTGTCTCAGCAGCCAGCAATGTGTTTCCTGTCACAGTGTAAGTGCCTTTATAATTATTTGTTTTTAGGGTTACCTCAGATGTACCCACTACTCTCTTAATGCTTTGGATGCTTTTCTTATGCTCCCCATGACTCTCTAACATTGACTTTGGAAGTAAGTGATACATTCTCTCTTTAGTAGTATAAAGTCTAGTTTGTTTTGAAAAGACATTTGGTGACCTTACTAACACAGTAGAGTTTCCCTGGATGTTGTTTAGCTCCATCTCTCTCTTTCTTTTCTCCCTCCCCGCCTCCCGTTATTGTGTGCTGGTGGAGTTCTAGCCACAATCCAGGGAATGTGGACAGGAACTATAGAACTCATAGTTTTGAAACTATCTAGATAAAGTTACAACTGTTTAATAATGACTCTCATGTTGGAAGGATATTTACACCTTGTGCTTCAAGTTTAAACCAGTTTCTAACTATTAGAGACCAGGATGAGACCTATTTGGGGTCAGATTATTCCACATATGTCTACTGCAGGGTTCTTACACCATTCTCTGAACTGTCTGGTTTTAGCTACCCTCAAAGAGAGGATACAGGGCTGGGTAGATTACTGGTCTGATCATAGAATCGTAGAATATCAGGGTTGGAAGGGACCTCAGGAGGTCATCTAGTCCAACCCCCAATTTTTTCCCCAAATCTCTAAATGGCCCCCTCAAAAATTGAACTCACAACCCTGGGTTTAGCAGGCCAATGCTCAAACCACTGAGCTATCCCTCCCCCCTCAGGTATGGCTGTTCCTAGTTGTGTTCACCTGCAAAGTTTCATTTTAGTACTTGATGTCCTAATATCAATTTTTCCTTCATTTCAAAATAGCATCACTTTGGTTTTAAAAGTGCAAAAGTATTCAAGGGCTTTCCGGACTTCTGCATCCCTAACTTGCTGAAAAGGGCCAGTTCAGAGCCAACTTAGCCTGAGTCATGTCTACTTTAAAGCCTCTCAGAAATGATGCTGATTGTCTTCAGCATAAGCAAACTGCGGTTGTTGTAAGAGAGAGAAATGTTTTCTGAAAACCTTCTTTAAATGGAACAATGAATACAGCTAAAGTGATATACCATGGGGAAACAGATGGTTCAGGGGATTGGGATGGCATATAGATCCTTTAAGTGCTATCTAAAAGCTAGGTGGTCATATTATTTATTATCTCTAAGTAGGTAGCTTGATCAAAGCTCAGATCATTGGTGACCAAAAGTTGATTCTTTCTGGCAACTGGTCTGTATCTAATGAGTTTGGTCTCAGTCTCTTCAGCAGTAGAAGGGTGTTCACAAAGAAGGTATCATGATTGACTTCCCCCCACTTCAACAACTGTGTCAATAGGACAAGGCTGAATAGGCATTGGCGAGTGAATGCCTCTCTTGCATTGAGGTGGCATTGCCAGGTCAGCGCCGGGAAGCTAACGTTACCACTGCCTGCACTGTATCTGTTCTTTGGATGGAATCCTTCAGTTAACAAAAGCACACCCTCAAAACAGTAAAATCCAAAGCAGGCGGAGTGTTAGGTGAGGCAAATGCCACACTACTTGGTTCCTGATGGTAACAAACTTTCCCCTTGTCTTCTCTACACACCTGTGGATCAGGCACACCAAGTTCTTGTTCTTTATCCCCCTTCCCTTCTAGAGCTTGGGGTGGGTTCACCTGAAAGCTGTATTAAAAATATCAGAAGTTTTTTTGAAACCTAGTACATACTCCTCTCGTTAAATGATGGGGGGTTTGACTTTTTGAAACAGATTGCAATGAAAGTTTAATGTTGCTATCGGTTCTAGATTTTCTTTTCCTTTAGCATTATATTTTGCCATTACACTAGGGATGATCCTGAATAAAAACAATACACTGTTTACACTGTTCAAAGAGAGAATGACCCTTACTATGTTCTGAAAGTCAGCCATACAGGACACTGAAAATGGCAATTCATCTGCTTGTTTGTTTGTTTTTGTTTTTTTTATCCTCAGTCAGCCACCACATTGTGTTCCTGAGACGTACAGCAATGCTACCCTCTGGTACAAGATCTTCACTACAGCCAGGGACTCAAATACAAAATATGCACAAGATTATAACCCTTTCTGGTGTTACAAAGGAGCCATTGGAAAAGTCTATCATGCTTTAAATCCCAAATTAACTGTCATAGTTCCAGATGTAAGTGCCAATGCTCTATTCTGACTGAATACCTCCTGTCCATTTAACTGAATAAGGTAGTCTTCTCTTGCTGACCTAAGAGTTGCATAGCACTGCATTCTTAAATAGTTGCTTGCAGTGGTGGTGTAGCCATGTTAGTCTCAAGATATTAGAGTGACAAGGTGGGTGAGGTGGTCTAACAAAAGATATCAACTTCTGTTGGTGAGAGAGACAAGTTTTCAAGCTACAGAGGTTTTTCTTCAGGTCTGGGGAACCTGCACAACACCTTCAAAAGACATGCCTGAGAGCTTAAATTCATATCTTAGCTAGACGCTAAAAATCATGGTCTTAATAAAGACACTGGATTTATGGCTTATTACAGCGTGTAACCCACTAACCCCTTTTTGTCCTATGATTGCAGAGGCATTAACAGGCCACTTCACCTTGAATGGTCTCTTAGAATACATGTTAACTTTTTATGCTAAACAATCTTTCACCTTGTATTTAGCTGTGAGACACAGTACCTTTCCCAGATCTGCAGGAGAGCTCTGTGTCGCTTTAAAGCTTGTCTTTCACCTCCAGTAGTTGGTCCAATAAAAGAGAGTATGTCACCCACCTTGTCTGTCTTAAATAGTTGCCGTAGCTATGTCAGAGATGGCTGCATTTCAGTGGTGATCTCCATATATCTCAATATGCCTAACAGCTTCTTTAATTAAAGATTTATAATTTGAAATCCTCTGATTAAAGGTGCCACTGTTTTATAGAGAAGTGCAAGAGTAGTGTAATGAATGTTGTTAAAATGCAGTCACTAGTGCAAATTAAATAATGTTAGGAAAATGTGTAAGTTATCCTTAACTGCCAAAACTTAGAGCTCCCTTACTACCTTCAACTTTCAGAAGTTCTGCATTAACAATGTAGAGGAAATCCTTTGTATTGAGAAGAAACAAGGTTGGGAAAGTGGCTTCTTTGCTAATCTGCTAAACATTGCTTGAATGTCAAATGCCTTCTCTATGTACAGAATCAGTAAATGGTTTTATTTCTCTGTGCAGGATGATCGCTCACTAATAAACTTGCATCTCATGCATACCAGTTATTTTCTTTTTGTGATGGTGATTACAATGTTCTGCTATGCAGTTATTAAAGGTAGACCAAGCAAACTGAGGCAAAGCAATACAGAATTCTGCCCTGAAAAAGTAAGTTTACTTAAGATAATACATACAGCATTGATGGGGGGCGGGGGGTGGAAATTAGAAAAGATCCCTTTTATATACAAAGTTTACATTATTTAATTGAAAAAAGAAAAGGAGCTCACGAAAGCTCATGCTCAAATTGGTTAGTCTCTAAGGTGCCACAAGTACTCCTTTTCTTTTTGCGAATACAGACTAACACGGCTGTTACTCTGAAACCTGTCATTATTTAATTGGTATACAATGATGATTCGCTTCTGTCCCAACCTAGTATCTCATTGGAGGACAGTAAATAATGGCACTGTAAAAGGTGCCTTGTTCTCTGCCTTTATAATCCAGCCCATGGACGTAGTGGAGAAACAAGGCAGAAGATTCCATTCAGCAATTAAATGCCTTGATTAAGAGTAGGGTGTATAATCTGTGGCTAAAGCAGAGGATTGAGAATCATGACTACTGGAGTCTCTTGTATCTCAGCCACTGGCACTAAGACCTTGAACAAATCACTTAATGCTTTGTGCCTCTGTTTTGCCTCCTGTTTGCAAGGCATAGAATAGTCCTCTATGCCCTGCGGGTGCTCAGAAACTTAACAAGTACGTATGTCTATAGTGCTGGTAGATCCTTCAATTAGAGATTCTTATTCTGTAAGTGTAGGGTACTAGTTGCACTTCAGTAAATGCAGAAGTGATTTGGGGTTTTTTAATACCTCTAACATGTAACATCAAGTAAACTGTATTTACAACACCGTATATTATTTGCACTTTGGCATATATCAAGTATGTCTTACGCAGCTTGAAATAGTCTTAAATTCTCTTATTACAAGAAGATAGCATACATTTATTAAAATATTGCTATCACAGCTAGTTCTAATGGTTGTAATCAGCATTAACGAAAATTAATACTGATGTTGGTTTAAGGGCAGTTAGACTAATTATATATACGCATACACACATTCACTTCGCTTAATGGATTAAGTATGGATGTATTTAACTATGTAACAAGAAGCTACAATGTACTATCCTTCATTATTAGGGAAACTTCCTACCAAGAGTTGAATATCTTTGAATATTTGATAAATACCAATTACAAAATATCTTCAGATATATTTTGGTGGTCTTTCCAACCTGGAGTCCTCAGAATGGCAATGACAGACGTCCTAGCTGCATAGAGATAAGTAATATGCAAATAGAGTTGATTTCAATTATACACAAGCTCTTAATTCTGTAATTTTTTTTGTTTTACTTCCAGGTTGCTTTGTCAGAAGCATAATCCATCTCCTTTTACTGAAAATGGCTGAGAACCATAATCATTGCCTGCTGAACCCAGACTGGGTCTTAAGACTTTGTGAATACGTTATCTTGCAATGTTGGTTTATTCCAACCAAAGACATTTCAAGTGCCTGTAATTGATTTGTACATATTTATAAAAGTATATTCAGATGACGCACTTGTTCCGCACAGTAGTGTGGCGAGAATCTTTAAATCTTTACCTGTGGACATAGCTGAATGTTTGTGTAGATAATAGATGTGTGTAGTGATAAGGATCACGTAGTCAGAGCAAGATATTTTTGTCTAGCTGCATCTGGGCAGGTTAAGATGCCTTTCCAAATGTCTCAAACAATACAAACCCTTCGTTTTTGCCCAATGATATGTACAGCGTGTTTGAAACAGTATGCATCTTTGATATAATATTGCATTTCCAAAGCCACTGATCTACTACATAAATTCAGTGTGTGTATGTGGCTTAATACTTTTTTCCATTTTCTCCTTGCTTGCAAGAAAAGATATCAACATTTCTAGATTTTTTTTTAAGAGAAATACATATTCACATTTTAATATTGCTGTAGTTAGGACAAACTTGTGCTTTTATCCAGAATTTAATAAAAAAGGCAAAGTCTTATTTTAAAATCCTTTCTATTGTAAAGTGCTAAGATTCACTTTTCATGGGGCCTGCTGGAATGGCAGAGCAGTGATCTGCATTGGGGTTGTATGGAAAGTTTTCCACTTACTTTGCCTCTGCTCCACAGCCTTCAAATCAGCAACTTCCTTGGTATAAAATAGCTTTTTATAACCTGTCTAAAAAGTGGATTTAAAAAAAAAAGGATGCATTCTATTAATAGTCAGTTGTGGCTCCATGGAGCCTGGTCAAGTGCAAATAACAAAGGGAAAAGGAAGATATAGTAACTTAAAGACCATTGTAAGTGCTTCATGTTGGACCTTCCATACATCTCTAAAGGGCAGCTGAAAATGACATATTTTTATTAGCTTTGTCCAATTTTTATCTACTGTTGTCTTCTGAGGGGAAGATGACAACTAGTGGGCTAGTCCTGTTGTGAATAAGTTGAGGGAAACCTTGCCTGAGAAATTTGTATTGGTCTTTGTGTCCATTGTTAAAATCAGAGCAGACTTGATTTCTTGGAGTGCTTTTGTTCTGTGGGTTTTTTCCCATTTCTGGCTTATTCCGTCTCCTTCCAGCCTGTCCTCCAGTTATCTTTTTAATTCTCGTAAGACAGAAGTTTCCTGTAGACACTTCCACCACAGCTTTTAAAATCTCACTGGTTGCCTTAATGACCCTTCATGTCATCTTTCAGCTTTCCTGTCAGGTAGCGCAATTCTAAATGTGGGTGTATACATTTTTCTTTGATACGTTTCACACTGCCATGTGATACATGAAACCATAAATCCAATTCAAAGACTGTAATCGCTGATATGTTGGCATAAAATCCTCTCTGTCTAGACACTGTTGATTGCACATTGCTGTGTTCTGCAGACCATCTTATATATTGTATAAAATCACTTTTCTTCAGAAAATAGTTCCTCATATAATTGTGATCGCTGTACACAGCATATTGGTTATTTCACTAAAATGTGTTTTCTCCAGATACCTTAAGATTAAACTTTAGAGACAGCCGTTTAGTTTGAAATCCATAAATGAAATAACTAAGGCTTCTGATCTTCAGTTGAAGCTACTGTTCACTAGTAAAACTCCACCAACGAAGCAGTAAATTTACTAAATAAAAATATGTAGAAAGCTTAAAGTGAAATTCTATTCTACTGCTCCTAACTTATGCATTCCCAACCTTTTATTTAGTACTCGTCTTTGAAACTGACTGAGGGGTGGTTCAGAATGGATAACTGCGGAAGGAGCTTAGTGCTGGTACAGTCAGTACCGGAAAATGCCCCGAGAACACTTACATCATGTAAAGATACTTGAAATAAATCCAAAATCAATGCTCTAGTTCAGCAAACTAACGTCAAACCCCAAAAGCACCAAACAGAACTACCTAGAAAGAAAAACACAATTGGATGTGTTGGGGGAACAGGTTTTTTATAGGAGGTGGTTTTGGTAATTAGAGGGGCCAGCTTCAAAAATACATAGTCAAACCCCACAAACAACTGCACTGCAAATAAACATTAAGCTCAGATTGCAACCCACAAATGCAAGGAGATTAGCATTAAGGGCATATTTTTCATTCTTAACTTACCCCTTTGTACCTAGGTATTGCAGCACACAGGTGAGGTCACCCAGTAGGCTAAGACTTTATCATACTTACGAGTATTGGATTGTACCTAGGCACAATATACAAAAATTAAATGCAGCCAAGCAGAAGGGTAAAAACTTAATATTAAAGTGGTTGTTCAGATCATATTGATCTTTCCTTTTTGTTTTCTTTTTCTTTTTAACTATGACTTGAATCAGTTTTGATTCTATTTGTAAGTGTTTTCTTGTTGTTAGAAAGCTGCCATTTCTGTTGCATTTTTCTTTGGCATTACATAGAAAGTCTGAGCCTTGGTTTACAGCCTTCCTCTGCAGGTGATGTAGGGTTAAGATGGTATTTTTTTTAAAAAAAAAAACACATTTCACTTGTATTGTTGCATGATGGTTAATAGCAGATTTGGTAATGACACTTCTCTCCTATATTAATTTTGTGTTTGTAAGATGTGCATATTGCTTTGCAGAATAAAAAAAAAGTTTATTCCGTTGTCTTTTTTTTTACCAATTCCTTGTGGACGTTTCATAAATCCTCTCTTTAGGTTGTGTGCAACACAAGGGAATTTGTTTTGACAGTGCACAGTAGTCTGGAATTTCAAACCCTATCTTGTGCGTATGCTCCAATAAACACTTCAGTTTAGACTTTAAAAAAAAAAAAGTAAAAATGTGTGTCGTGCAGGAGGAGACAGTTGTTTTGATGTCCAGCATGATAAAATGCAGCACTCATGACACTTAAACCCATTTAACCCAGATATTTCTCCTTGTGCTTGAAGCTCCGGTATCCTGCTGTGCAGTTAAAGGTAGATCGGCATGCTTCATCAATGCAGTACAGATTTCCGCTCTGAAAAGGTAATGAGGGCTAAGATGAGAAATGCCTGGTGGGGGAAGGAGTAGAAAATAGCTTCAGTTACCTTTGAGACAGTGCAAAACAGGACAATTTCACGCCTCAGTAAGAATATTTTTTGTCTTGACCGTTTCCCTTTAAAAGTTAATCTCCTTGGCTATGTTTTCCTGTAGCACTGTAGATTGCTTCCTTTTCAGATCTCTAACAGTGTGGACAGTGAAGGCAAAATGGTCATTTTCCCTCTTGTCACTTTCGCTTTCTGGTTCTCACGCCATACGCGAGCACACGGGCTTGCTGTTTGGCGGGCGGGAACAGCAATGTAAACCTCGACTCCAAACGATACCATTCATGAGCATTTTGTCTAGTCCCTTCACCCAAGCTTGCCTCTAAGTTTTTGCACGTATATAAATGTTTTTGCAGCTTTTTGCTATACTCTTTCCAGGTCACTTGTCTTATGCCAGAGGTTTTCAAACTGGGGGTAGCACGGAATGTATTCTGGGGAGGATGTGAGAAGCTTTGGGGGATTAACCCACGCATTTTACCCACAGCAATAAATCACCAGCAAAGCTAATTCCTCCAGGTCCCCAGATGGCGCTGTCCATTTTAATGGATTTCTTTTAAGCTGGCATAGCATAATACAAAGTCATTGCCATCCGTACATTCATCTGTTTTGCTATGACAGTGTGCACATTTAATTGTGAGCATCGAGCACAATCACGGTTTTGCTTCAGCTCTTATTACAATGGATCGTTGACTTTGTTTCAATCAATGCCTTACTCTTTCGAACGTTTAGTGGAAGTTTGCATGTTTTGTTTTAAATTGGTATATGTACTTTGTGGGGCAGCAGCGCTGTGTGTGTAGAGTACTGCAGACTCACAGAAGGGGAGTGCTCTCAGATAAATTTGAGAACCACTGTCCTAGGCCATTATAAATAAGGCCAATATTGGAGGTGGAGGATGGGGAAATGCTGATCTGGCTAAAAGTTGAAATGAAGCGAATCAGACGGGGGCTTGTTCTTTCCCTGCAGTAATCTCCACCGCTATGCAGTGAGCGGCTTACGTAACTGAATGCCGAAGAGAGGCCTCCTTGCCACAGGCATGGCCTAAATTATTTAACTGAATGAGATGTTGCCCCCAGCATGGATCCAGGGAACTTGAGGGAAGGATGTAATTGGCTGTGTCAGTTGGTTACTGTTGGTATATAAAGGTATGGAGCAGAGAAGAACTAGTTCATTCTGCCTGGAGCCAGTTGCTACACCCTCGTTTCTGTGTCTGGTGCAGAGGAAGACTGAACAGCACCTCATGGTTCGCCTGGGCCTCACACTAGGGCAGCAGTGGAGGGCAAAAGGGACGCCATGCAATCAATCACAGCCCAGGCACTCGATGTTTGACGAGCACAAGAAAGCCCATCCCCCTTGAGTGGGGCGCAAAAAGCTGTCTTGCTCTAGCTTCTTCTGCACGGAAGCTATCAGCGGATGTAACCTCTCTGTATTGTTTAAAAGTGAATGTTAAGTGGCTGGGCCATCATCAGTCTCATGGAGAGGAAGGTCTGCTATCTGTAGCAGGACCCCCTCAAGGCCCTAAAAGAATGTTTTCCTAGAGCTAGCAGGCTCGGGGGTACCTAGGTGGTGTAGGGTAGCTGTCCTCGCTTGTAGCGCTAACACTTACCTCATCTAGCGCTATGCTGGCTCCTGTTGTAACAAAAAGATCTTCTCCCTCAGCCCATGCTAAATCCTTTGTCCCAAGGCTGGCGAAGTGGAGGAAGCAAGACTCTAGGACACGTATTCATTTGTTTTCCCTTTAAACAAACATACTTTTATAGCCAAAGGAGGAAGCAATACCGGTTGGCAAACAAGCGAGTTTACGCTCTGAATTTCCTGGCAATGCTTATGCTTCCTGAAAAATAGATTTGGTCTGCAAACAGCGCCGTATAATACATTTGTGTAACCTTGGAAGGGCAGCAGGGGGCTGTATTTCTCGGTAAGCATTTGAAAATACGTAACCCATGGTTTAATCTGGTCTATTGTAAGGATGGTTTGTTTCAGTACATAAGAGAGGCAGAATTTTAACATAGATCCTTGAGCTACCTCCTTCTGGTATATACTGGATTAAGCATCTTGATCAGGTGGGGAGCATCTTCCACTGCTCTTGATAGTCAACAGGACTCCCTCTGGAGCAGGACAGGTAGAGGAAGCCGGATCCAAAAGGGATTCATTTTGTAAGAAATTAACCCAGATGCCATGTCCAGGCTATGAATGTTTTTATAAGAAACCCCACTAGGAGCAGCGAGAAATCCCGTAAAGCTTGCACATCTGGAAACAATGCCAACACCCTGTTTGCCATCCGATTACAGCAACCATTAGCTAGCTGTTCCACCCGTGAATGAGACGCACCATCTGCCACCAGCCATGACGTTTCCATGATCAAATATTTTACCCCCACTATTTTGATACTTTTGTGAAAACTGGAGCCCAGGACCATGTCCCTCTTTACAACAGGGTGTTTTTTAGCAAATGCCTTCTGCATCCCTGTCATGGCACAATTTTCATAGAAACAGTCTCCTCGCAATTGCACATCAGCAGATCCATTTGCACTTGCTGATGTTCAGATTGTTTTAGGGGGCTGGGCTGTAGACTTCATAAAGACTGTGTTCATAGAGTGGCCTAAAAGGACAAGCAAATCAACTAAGACTGAAGGGTTGAATGCCATAGGGAAGGGTTTAAACCCTTCAAACTTGGGGACCTGAAATTAGGCAGCTTTTCCAGATGTCCTGAGACCCGACCTGCAGCTTCCATGCAGCACCTCTGAAAAAACAGGCCTCCAATTTAGGTGTCTAAATCTGGATTACAATTCAAACCAAAGTAATATCAGTTGTGATCTCTTGTCCACAGGCTCTGCAGGGCCTAGTGCATAGTGTACAGGACTGGGCCTCAGGAGATTTGGGGCCTATTGCTGGCTCTGCCAGTGACCAGCTGCATGACCTTGGGCAAGTCACTTCACTGTTCTGTGCCTCAGTTTCCCATCTGTAAAATAGGGATAATGATACAGACTTTTGAACAGTGCTTTGAGACCTATGACTAGGAAGTGCTATAAAAGAGCAAGGTGGAATTATGCACCTTGCACTTGTTAACCTCAGCTATGCTGCATATCTTTAATAATGCTTTGGCTTTAGAGTACTGTTCATCTATGGAGCTCAAACAACTTTACCAAGCTGTCTAAGCATCATTGTCCCTGTTTTGCGGATGGGGAAACTGAGGCACAGGAAGGTAGGGTGAAGGTGGGGGTCTTACTACACTTTCAGACTCTATCAGCTGGTTTTATGATGTCTAGTCTGTGTAATCCTTTGGCCCACCGTGCTTCCCACTTAATAAAAGTGCTACTTTGCAGAGACCTCTTATGTAGAAGTGTTTGCGCAGGAGACATTAATAGTATCACCGCTGTCTGAGGCCTGGGGCCCTATTTCACCTGTGCTGTCAGCTAGTATTAGCCTTCGTACCGTGACTCATGCACCCTGCTCAACCAAGTGACAGACTAGGCTGAACTGTAAATCTGAACCAATAGTGGGTGGCATGAACAAAGTTGTGGACCAGTTTTGCTGTGGACTGAGCTACTGCCCCTTTGAAGAGTACCTGCTGGACATCGCTTAGCACTGCTTTTTGAAGAGGAGATGGAGGAGTTGCATTGGGCTGTGCTTGAGCTTTCTATTGCCCTGGAAGGGTGAGATCTCTAGGGACCCTTTCCTCCCAAGGCACATCCCAGAGAGGAATCCCCTGCCTTACCGTTGTGATGTAGCCGCTGCTGACGTGGAAGGTGGTCCAAGCATGCTGTAGCTACAATGGAATTTTGGCTAAACACCTGGGGGAAACCCCAGTCTCTTAGGTCCTTGTATCTGTCTCATCCCAGAGCCCCCCCACTCCTGTGTCAGCCCTAGCTCTTCAAATCTGTGGCCCTAGGAAGGCTAGGTACTACAGACTTAGGCTCAGGTTCTCTGGACTGTCTGAGCTGCAGTCAGAACAAGTCCAGGGGGAAGGGGGCTTTGAGTCCTCTTCACAGTCCCTTGCTCCTGGCCCTGCTAGGCATCAGCGTACTCGCCACAGAAAATAATATTTTCCACTGACTTGCTTGGCAGGACAGTCAGTGGAATATTCCACTGACTGTCCTGCCAAGCAAGGAGCAGCTCGTTTCAGGGGTTCCCAAGCCATCTGCACTACCCTGGGGCCTAAAACAGGGTGGTGTATGAGATAATAGAAGGGCCTCAACAGAGCTGAAGACCTGGCCCTAGAGGTGTAGATCTCTAGTTACCCCAGCTGTCATCAACCTACTGCAGGGACCACAGCTAAAAAGCCTGGGTGGGATTTTCGACAGCAGCCAGCAGTGGCCTCGGTCTGTTCCCAGGGGGCTCGAGCCGTTGGTTTCAGTTGGGAGCAGCAGTTAGGCCAGCGCTGAGCACGTTAGAAGATCCCAGCCCGTGTACGTGGCCCTTGGCAGTTTGTCTGGGTTCCCCAGGCTCTATAAAAAGACACAGATGCTCTCGCAGAGCGATTTGGGGCCTCGCTCAGTCTGAACAGTCACATTACCACTCTGGGCAGCACCTCTGAGTCTCAGAGCAGCAGTTCAACACGTGCTAATCAAGGCCCATGG